AGGGAGGTCTGGGTGGTCTGAAGAGGAGAGGAGGGTCTGAGGAGGAGAGAGAGCGGTCTGAGGAGGAGATGGAGGTTTGAGGAGGGGGTAGGGGATCTGGCAGGGGTCTGAGGAGAGGGAGTTCTGAGGAGGAGAAAGCTGTCTTAAGACAAGAGAGGGATCAGAAGAGGAGGAATGGTGGGTTGGGGGGGGGGGTGTGATGAGGGGAAGGAAGTCTGAGGAGGATAAAGGGGGTCTGAGGAAGACTGGGGGTCTGAGAAGGAAAGAGCGGTCTGGGGGGTCTAAGGAAGAGAGTGGGGTCTGAGGAAAGGAGGGGGTTTGGGGTTTGGGGGGGTCTGAGAAGAAGAGTGGTCTGAGGGAGGGAGGGGTTTGAGGAGATAAGGGAATCTGAGAAGGAAAGAGCAGTCGGGGTGGGGGGGTCTGAGGATGAGTGAGGGATCTGGGGGGGATCTGAGGTGGAAAGGGAGGTCTGAGGAGGAGTAGAAGGGGGTATGGGTGGGTCTAAAGAGAGAGGGTTGGGGGGGGGGGGTCTGAGGAGGAGAGGAGAGATCTGAGAAAGGGCAGGCTTTGTTGGTCTGAGGGGAGAGGGGGGTCTGAGGAGGAAAGGGTAGGCCTAGGGTGCCTGAGGAGGAGATGGGGGGTCTGAGGGTATGCAAGGAAAAGGGAGGTCTAGGGGGTTTGAGGAGGAGAGGGGAGGGCTGAGGAGAGTGGAGGGGGGGGGGGGGGGGGGGGGGGGGGTTGAGAGGGAGAGTGGGATCTAAGGAGGTGAGAAGGGTCTGGGGGGGGGTCTGAGGAGGAGAGAGAGGGTCTGAGGAGGGGCGGAGGATCTGGCAAGAGTCTGAAGAGGAGAGGAGGGTTTGGGGGGGGTCTAGGGGGGTATGATGATGGGAGTGGTCTGTGGAGGAGAGGGGGGGGGGTCTGAGAAGGAAAGAGCAGACTGGGGGGTTTGAGGAAGAGAGTGGAGTCTGAGGAGGAGGGAGGGGGCTCTGGTGTTGGTCTGAGGAAGAGGGGGGGGGGGGTCTGAAAAGGGGGAGGGGGGTTTGGGGGGTCTGAGAAGAGTGGTCTGGGGGCTTCTGAGGAGGGAAATGGGGGGGGGTTTGAGGAGAGGGGAATCTGAGGAGGAAGGGGTTTGGGTGGTCTCAGAAGGGGGAGCAGGGGGGGGTTTGAGGAGGAAAGGGGGCTCTGAGGAGGAGAGAGGGGAATCAGAGGAGGAGAGAGGGGTTGGGGGGGGAGAGTAGTTTCTGGTGGGAGTCTGAGGAGGAGAGGGGGGTCTTGGGAGGAGAGTAGGCTCTGGTGGGAGTCTGAGGAGGAGAGGGGCACCTGGGGGGGGGGGGGGGGAATCTGGCTGGGTCTGAGAAGGAGAGAGGGTTTTGGGGGTTTGAGAGGAGGGGGTTTAAGAAGAAAGGGCAAGTTTTAGAGGTCTGAGAAGAGAGGGGGTCTGAAGAGGAAAGGGAAGGTCTGGGTCTGGGGTGTCTGAGGAGAGGGGAGGAGATAGGAGGTCTGGGGGTATGCAGAAGAGAAGGGAGGTCTGGAGGGTCTGATGAGGAGGGAGGGTTCTGGGAGGGGAGGAGGAGGGGTATGAGGACAAGAAGGAGTCTGGGGGGGGTGTGAGGAGGAGAGGCGGGTCTGAGGAGGAGAGAAGGGTCTAAGGAGGAGATGGAGGTCTGAGGAGGGGTAGGGGATCTTGCAAGGGTCTGAGGAGAGGGAGTTCTGAGGAGGAGAAAGCAGTCTTAAGAGAAGAGAGGGATCAGACGAGGAATGGTGGTTCTGTGGGGGTGTGATGAGGGGAGGGAAGTCTGAGGAGGATAAAGGGGTCTAAGGAAGACTGGGGGGTCTGAGAAGGAAAGTGCGGTCTGGGGGGTCTAAGGAAGAGAGTGGGGTCTGAGGAGGTGAGGGGGCTCTGACGAGGGTCTGAGGAACAGAGGGGGGTTTGGGGAGATTTGAGGAGAGAAAAGGGGCTGAGGGGGGTCTGAAGTGAAGTGAGGAAGACTGGGGGGGTTCTGAGGAGGAAGGGAGGGGGGGGGGGGGGTCTGTGGAGAAAGAGAGTAGGAAGGGAAAGGGGGGGGGATCTGAGGAGGAGAGGAGTAGGTCTGGGAAGTCTTAGGAGGTGAGATATCGTCAGAGGAGGAGAGGAGTAGGTCTGGGAAGTCTTAGGAGAACAGATGAGGTCTAGGGGGGGGTCTGAGATGGAGGAGGAGATTTAGGGGAGGCCTAAGAAAAACTGACGTGGAGTGAGGAGGCTAAAGGTATTTGAAGAGTAGAAAGGAGGTTTGGGGGGTCTGAGGTGGAGTGAGGAAGACCAGAGAGTTCGGAGGAGGTGAGATGAGATCGGGAAGAGTGGTGGTCTGAAGGAAATAGAGAGGTCTGGGGGGAGTCTAAGGTGGAGCGAGGAGGTCTAGATGGTTCTGAGGTGGAAAGAGGTTACTAAGAGGGTCTGAGCAGGGGAGGGAGTGTGGTGTGGTGTGGGGATGTCCGAGGAGGGGAGTAGAGGTCTGGGGAGCCTGAGGAAGAGAGAATAGGCTTAGGGAGTGTGAGGAAAAAGGGCAGGTCTGAGGTGATTTGAGAGGGCTAGGGGGGGTCTGAGGAGGGGAGTGGAGGTCTGGAGAGAGGTAAGGGGGTAAGAGGGATCTTAAGTGGAGAGGAGATCTGGGGGGGTCTAAAGAGGGGAGGGAAGATTTGGGGGGGACTGAGGTGGAATGAGGAAGTCTAGTGGGGGGGTTTGAGGAGGATAGGGTAAGTCTAGGGGGGTCTGAGTGAGTTGAGATGAGGTCTAAGATGGAAAGTGGTGGTCTGATGGGTATGAGAAGAGAGGAGGTCTGGAGGGGTCTGAGGAGGAGAGAGGATGCCTGAGGGGTCTGAGGAGGGTGAGGAGAAGTCTAGGGGATCTGAGAAAGAGAGGGAAGGTCTGGCTGGTCGGGGGTGGGGAGGAGTGAGGAGGTCTGGAAGGGGGATCTGAGGAGGGAGAGAGGAGGACTGAGGGGGTCTGAGGTGGAGGTGAGGGGGTGGAGTGAGGAAGTCTGAGGGGGTCTGAAAAGGAGAGGGGAGGTCTGGGGTTTGAGGAGTTGAGTCGAGGTCAGAGGGAGCGGTGGGGGGGGGGGGGGTTAAAGAGGATAGGGAGGTCTGAAGAGTAAAAAGGAGGCCTGGGATAGTCTACGGAGGAGAGAGATAAGGCTAAGTGGCTAAGTGGGATGATGAGGAGAGAGGAGGTCTGGGAGTTCAAAGGAAAAAAGGAGGTTTGGGGGGGCGTGTTCTGAGCTGGAGAGAGAAGGAAAGAGTAGTCAAAGGAGGAGAGCAGAGGTCTTTGGGGGGGGGGGGGGGGGGGGTCTGAGGAGTAAAAGGGAGGTCTGGAGGGGGTCTGAGGAGTAGAAGGGAGGTCTGGAGCGGGTCTGAGGAGTAGTGGGGAGGTCAAGAGGGAATTGGGAGTGAGGAGAAGAGAGGAGGTTGGGGAGAGGCTGAAGAAGAGAGAAAGGAAAGGACTGAAAGGTTCTGAGGAGATGAGAGGAGGTCTAGGGAGGAGACGGGAGATATGAAAAGAAAGGAGGTCTGGAGGGGTGTGTGGGGGTTGAGGGGGTGGTTGAGGAGATAGAGGGCTAAGGGGTTCTGAGGAGATGAGAGAAGAAGGGAGATCTGAGAAGAAAGGATGGGGGGGGGGGGGGGGTTGAGGAGTAGAGGGGAGGTCTGTGGGTGGAGGGATCTGACGAAGACAAAGAAGGTCTGGGGGATGTGAGGAGGGGAGAGGAGGTTAATGGGATCTGAAAAGAAGAGAGGAGGTCTGAGAAGGGAGAGGGGAGGTCTGAGGATTCTGAGGAGACAGTAGGTCTTGGGGTCTGAGGTGGAGTGAGGTAGTCTGGGGGGAGGTCGGAGGAGGAGCAAGGAGGTCTGGGTGTGTCTGAGGTGGTGAGAGGAAGCTTAAGGTGTGCAAGGAGCAGAGAGGAAGTCTGGGGGGGGGGGGGGGGGTCCTGAGGAAGAGAAAGAGGAGGTCCTAGGGGTTTGAAAAGGTGAAAGGAGGCTAAGGGGATCTGAGGAGGAGAGAGGAGGCTAAGGTTGCCTGAGGAGAGGAGGTGGCGTAAGATGGTGAGAAGAGGTCGGGGGGTGGGGAGTAGAAGAGCAGAGACTAAGGGGGTCTGAAGAGGAGCAAGAAGGCTATGGGGGTCTCATGAGAAGAGTGTCGGTTGGAGTGTCTGAAGAGAAACAAAGCTAAGGGTATCTGAGGAGGAAAGAGGAAGTCTGGGGGGTGGGTCTGAGGATAGGAGGGGAGGTCTAGAGGGTCTGAGCAGAGGGGAGGTGTGGGGGTCTGAGGAGGAGAGCAGTAGTCTGGGGGTTCTGAGGAGGCAAGAGGAGGTCTGGGGGTCTGAGGTGGAGAGTGTGACGAGAATCACTTTTGGGGGGGGGGCCCATGAAACCCAGCTCACTTTGGACAGGAGGAGATGGTGAATCCCTATCCCCAGACACCAGTTCCAGAGACTGGGGATTTGATTGACTTTTCTGCTGAGGAGGGAACCAGCCAGTGCGCCTCCAGCAGAAGAGCTGGCATCAGAGCAACAATCAGCACCGCAGGAGCTACAGGAAGAGGATGCAATCGGCACCTCACAACTGCAGCTTGAGACTTCGGTCTCCACTGACACAACCCCAGAAAAGGGTCTGGCATTGGGACAGGAGCATGTCAGCCTTACTTTGCGAACACTGGGGGATGTCCATCAAGTGAAAGTGGATGAGACTACAGTCACCACCTGGATACCCCAGGGATGCTGGGTAGTCGGCCCAAATCCCCAACAGCATGATGGAGTTGGCCCAGCCATTCTGTCTTCTCTCCAGCGGCTGAGAGGACTTCAGGGAGAAGGACCAGTCCGTACTTCTCCCCAGCAGCGGGTATGTTCTACGAGAGAGGCAGAGGTTGGCTGGGTGAGTAATGCTTTGTGTGGGACAATTTGCTTGGGGGTACTGTGTGGGTGCTGGCATTGGGGGACTGGAAGTACAGACTAACTTTGGAGTCAACCCATTTGGGGTCTGCTCCTGTGTTAGTCCCCTGCTGAAAGGGGAGATATGGTGGGAGGCCCATGGATCCCAGCTCACTTTGGAGAGTTGGGGAGACCCCTGTCTCAGCTCCCCATATCCCTCTTATGTGTAAATCACCCTGTGCCTGTTAGGGGTACAGGGTGATCTGTACTAATATTGTGTGGGCTTTGTCTCAGACTGTGTAGACATGTTTAGGAGATAAGTGGGATGGGGGTTGTTGATTGCTTAAGGTTATGTGACTGCATCCCATTGTTCTAATATTTGTCTGGCGTGGGCGCAAACTATTATGGGATGTATGTGTTTATGTGTATTAGCTTAGTGGGGAGGGGGCGGTGTCTCCAGCAGCCCTCCCTCCTGATGGAACTGTCTGGTGGTGTGAAGTTTGGATACCTGGGTGTCTTTTGTTACTAAATGTAGATTGCCCCGCCCTGTTTCATTATGCAGGGAGGGGGGATTGTCCCGAGTGTATATATCTTGTATCGGCGTTTAAATAAAGTAGTCTACCTCAGGGTTTACTTCAAGACTGGTGTCGTCTAGTCTTGTATGGTCGACTGTGGTGTCTGTTGTCGATGTTGGGACGGGGAAGTGGTATTCTAACGGAAGTACTCAAGCACAGTCTGGGTTGGTTCCATTACAGAGAGGGGAGGTTTGAAGGGGTCTGAGAAAAGAGAAAAGAGGCTAAGGGGGTTTGAATAGGTGAGAGGAGGTCTGGAGGGTCTAAGGAGAAGAGAGGAGGTCTGAGTAGGGGAGAGAAGGCCAAGGGGGTCTGTGGAATAGAGTGGAGATCTGGGGGATCTAAGGGGAGAGGAGGATAAGGGGGTCTGAGGAGGAGACAGGAGGTTATGGGGAGGGCTAATGGTTTCTGAGGTGAGAGAAGAGAGGTCTGAGTGTTCTGAGGAACAGAGGAGAGGTCGGGGATGACCAAGTAGAGAGGGTGCTAAGGGGGTCTGAGGAGGAAGGCTGGAGGTTTCTGAGGTGAAGAGGGGAGGTCTTGGGGATCTGAGTAGAGGGGAGGAAGAGTATGGTTGTCTGAAGGGGGGGGTCAACAGAGAAGAAAGGAGGTCTGAGGAAGAGAGAGGACCCTAAAGGGGGCCTAAGGAGGTGGTTTGGGGAGATGATAGAGGATTAAAGTGAGGAAGTCTGAGGAGAATGTCTAGAGGATCTGTGGAGGAGAGAGGAGTTCTGAAAAGAAGAAGCGAAGTCCGAGAACAGAGGCGGTGCGGGGGGGGGGGGGGGGGGGGGGGGGGGGGGGGGGGTTCTGAACAGGAAAGGGGAGATCTGTGGGGGGTCTGAAAAGGAGAGTGGAGGTGTTCATGTCAAAGTGGGACTTTTAATTGTAAAGGTAAAAAAAAATTATGCTAGCATGGAGGTACTACACTCAGTGTTGCGGACCAGTCCAGAGACCGTTAATCAAGACGGCAGACAATAATGTTCATGCATACATGAAACAGTATGTGGTGATGAAGTTTTGAACAAAAAAAAGTGTAAAACCCACAACTATCTACAGATTACTTCAAACACAGTACAGCGATGAGAAGCTCAACCGCAGTAAGACATTTGAAAGGTGAAAAGTTGAAACGTTTCAAAGATGGCTATACATTCATCAGTGACATTCCCGGCCATGGTGGTTCCCAGCCCACAATAGTCATTCCTGTGAACATTCAGTGCGAGGAACACCTGATCCTCGATAACCTACTCATATCCTGACGTGAAATTGCACAACGGATGAGTCTTTCTGTAGAAACGGTGAACACGATGACGAAGTGAAGCAGGCTATCCTTGGATGGTTCATCCATACTGACAAATCCTTCAATGCCAAAGCTTTCCAGGCATTAGTTAAACACTGGGATAAGTTTATAAATGGAGCACGGGAGGATGTCGAAATAAAAATGCAGTCTCTATTCCTTGAAATTAGTTATTTTATTATATAAACTCATAAGTCCCAGTTTGACTTTAACGCCCCTCGTACAGTCATGGCCACAAATTTTGGCACGCCTGCAGATAACGCACCACTTTGCCCAGAAAATTGCTGCAATTACAAATGTTTAGGCATTCTTATGTTTCTTTTGTTTGTATTGGTAGGACACAAAGTGGAGAAACAAAATGCCAAATCTGACACATTCCACCCAAAACTCAAAAATGAACAGGACAAAATTATTGGCACCTTCTCAAAATTGTAAGAACTAATCGCATTTCAAGTTTGATACAGGTGAACTTAATTACAGGAGCATCACAATTACCAGGCACTGACAATATAGAAATCACACTGGCAACCAGTTAAAATGGTGAAAAATGTACTCAACCTTTCTGTTGTGTGTGTTTGTGTGCCAAATGGAGCATGGAGAATGTAAAGAGCATCAAAGAATTGTCTGAGGATTTGAGAACAAAAAATTGTGGAGCAAGTCCATCTCCAGAGATCTTAATATCCTGTGTCCACTGTGCGCAACATTGCCAAGAAGTTTACAGCCCATGGCACTGTAATTTCCCGGATTGTGGATGAAAGAGAAAAAGTTATCAAAGATTGCAACGAATTGTTCGTATGGTGGCTAAAGAACCTTGATCAACTTCCAGACAAATTCAAGCTGACCTTCAGGCACAGGGTACAACTGTGTCAGTTCTCACTATATGTCGCCATCTGAAATGAAAGAAACGCTATGGTAGGAGACCCAGGACGACCCCACTGCTGACACATAAAGCCAGATTGGAGTTTGCCAAAACTTACTTGAGGAAGACAAAATCCAAAATCCACTTGGAATGTGCTCTGGACAAAACAAAAATTACAGCTTTTTGCTAAAGCCCATCATTCTACTGTTTTCAGAAAAAGCAATGTGGCCTTTAAAGAAAAGAATACGGTTCCTATAGTCAAACATGGTGGAGGTTCACTGATGTCTTGGGGTTGCTTTGCTGCTTCAGGAACTGGATGTCTTGACCGTGTGCATGGCATTATGAAATCCTAAGACTAGTAAAAATATTTGGGCTGCAATGTAGGGCCCAGTGTCAGAAAGTTGGGTCATAGGTCTTACAGCAGGACAATGACCCAAGCACATGTCAAAAAGCACCCAGAAATAGTTTCAAAGCGCTGGAGAGGACTGAACTGGCCAGCAAAAAGTCCAGATCTCAATCGCATAGAGCACCTGTGGAGAGACCTCAAAACAGCAGTGGGGGGGGGTCTAATCTGAGAGACCTGGAGCAATTGGCGAAAGAAGAGTGTTCTAAAATTCTAGTAGAGAGGTGTGAAAAAACTTGGTGGTTACAGGAAGTGACTGATCTGAATTTTTATTTTCCAAGGGATGTGCTACAAAATATTAAATTGAGGGTGCCAATAATTTTGTCCAGTCCATTTTTGGCATGGTGAATGTGTCAGATTTGGCTTTTTGTTTCTCCACATTTTTGTGTCCTACCAATACAAACAAAAGAAACATGAGAATGCCTAAACATTTCTAATTGCAACAATTGTCTGGGCGAAGTGGTGCATTATCTGACAGAAATGCAAGGGTGCCAATATTTTTGGCCATAACTGTAAAAAAAAACTGAATTAAAAACTGTATAAAAAAAAATTAGACATTTTTTTGTTTCTTTTCAGATGCATTAGTTTCTTGAAGAATTTCGTTTCGTCATATTCATTCTGTAGAACCTATTTGTTTTTGGAATTTGTTTCGTATATTTGTTGGACTGAGTGGATTTGATCAATATTGCAATTTTTCCAAAGATTGCTATACTTTTGATATAGTATCGAATCAGGATTCGATATTTTCAGATACTAGTCCAACTCTCCAGGAGAAATTACATGAGTTGATTGGACAACATGGACTGGTGTCATGTGCATCCTAATTAACAAATGTAACAAAATTCTGATCCATTCATTTTCTGAATATGAATTATTGAATGAATTTGAAAATTTTCCTATGGGCTCAAACCACTATCGCATTATGTGACATCATCCGAATGAAACAAAGGCATTTGCTAATTTCAGAGATTTGGATAAATCCGAATCTCCGAAAATGAACTTTTGAATCAAAACTAATTGCACGTCTATAAATAATATGTAAACATTAACAATATAGATAACAAGCAATCTAGCTTTACAGTAACAAAAACTCAAACAGCACGACAAAATGTGAGCATGATTATGGAAAAACCTAACCCTGAGAAAAACAAGTTCTGCAGTGAGCATAATCAGGTGGTCAAAATCAGGTTGCACCTAACAATGGAAAGGGCTTAAAGAGGGATGATTAAACAAAACCCAGGGATGTTCAATTTGTATCGCCCAACGCCCAGGACTTCTAGTTCTGGGCACCGGGCAGGTAGTTTCTTATAACCCTTAGCCCTGCTGCGGGCAAGCAGCAGGGCTCACCTGTCAGGTGAAAGCATTTGGGTGAAAGCCCCCTTCAGTTCTAGCCTCCTCCTCCGCCCCCCATCCATAAACCGCCATCTTGCCCACTGTCTCCTGAGCTCCACTTGCCCATCTACAGGCCCAGGACCTATTCGGGGAGTGCCAGTAGGTAAAGGGGAGAGAGGAGAGCGGACACTCGCTCTCCTCCCCTTCTGATCCTGACCCGAAAGTGATGTTATGACTTTTTTTTGACAGTCTAAAAGTAGAACTTGGTATTATACAACATGGTATGGGAATAGAGAGAGAGCAAAATGGAAGAGAGGGAGAAAAGGAGGGAGCGGAGAGCGAGAGGGGAAAGAGAGATGGAAGAGAAGAATGGAGAAAGAAGGGAGGGGAATGGGAGGAGAGAGGGGAGTGGAAAGGAAAGGAGGGAGACCGGGAAAGAGAAAGGGAGAAAGAGGAGAGAAGGATGGAGAGGGAGAGAGGAAGAAAGAAGAGAAGGGTTAGAGGAAGAGAGATGGTTAGAGGAAGGGAGAGGGGCAAAAGGGAAGAGAGAGGGAGATGAGAGAGCAAAGGGAGAATTTGGGAGAAAGAGGGAGAAGAGAGGTTGAGACAGCAAAGGTTCATTAAAAAAACAAAACCTTTTCAATTACATAACAGTGCCTCAAAAAAGTATTCATACCCCTTGAAATGTTCCACATTTTGTCATGTTACAACTAAAAACGTAAATGCATTTTATTGGGATTTTATGTGATACACCAACACAAAGCGGCACATAATTGTGAAGTGGAAGGAAAATTATAAATGGTTT